CGACGCAAAATTATTCGCGAATAAACACGTCAATAGCATTACCGAATTATGTAATGTATTAACTTGCTCGAGTTATGATATACAAGATTGATGAAACCAAATTTTCTTATAATAATTATATCGTATTATTATATTTCCAGAGGATTTATTAAAAATATATTATTATTATATTTTAAAATAATTTTATACATTAATAATTATTCTTATACATTATTTTTAATAATATTTTTAATAGTTAAATTATTTTTATTAATTTCATATTATTTTTTATAATATTATTAATTATTAATATTAATTTTTTATTATTTTTTAAATATTATATTATTTTACATATATTTTAAAACAATGTTATATAAAATATAATTTTTATATATTATATATATTCTTGTATTATATTATATATTTTTTATTAAGTAAAATCCTTCTAATGAGAAAACATTTATGTCAAAAATGACTCATTCCGCTTAATCTACAAGTTTGGAAAAGAGGTCTCGTGAGAGGCGTTTCTCTCCGAAATTTTACGACGTCCCTGAAACTTGCGGGATAATTCTCCGTCGAAAGTTGCAAATGTGCTATGAAAGGTCGCTAATTATTCACGCCGACCATTCAACCGATTCCACGATTTCATTAAGCGGTACACATCGCTCTTCTCCTTCAACTCCTCGAGAAAATTCAGAGGCTATTAACAGCCCGCGAGATTCACCTGGAATTCTCGTGGGCTATCCTCGCCAGGGAATCCATAATCGACTTCCCTTTCATCGAACTTTTGGATTACCGGTTGAATAATTAGTTGGACCCAAGCAGCGCGATAAAGACTAAGAAAGAAGAGGGAATCTCTAAAGAATAGAAGCATCTTCTTGGCGTAAAAAAAATCATTGAGTGGCGAGACGCAGATTATTTTAAAGCAAATCTTATAAAAGTAGAGCAAATACTACGAAACGTGACGTGCATTTCAGTCGAGATGTTTTAAAAGAGATGTAAATTTATTTCAAGAAAAATTATAAAAATATACTAGTATACATATTACGTCATATTATTACACATTATTTCGCAAATAAATCATTACGGATTAAGTGCTTCAAGTGCCATCGACACTTTCAATATAATAGCTGTGTTATCATTATCGAAGATAATCTCGATGTATAAGAATATTTGAGGGAAAAATCAAAGTCTCTCATTAGTCTCAGGCTTGAAGTATCGCAAACATCTCTAGATATGCATCGATCCGGGAGACACCGACACAATTTTGGCAAGCTCCGCTGATATTTATAGATAGATACGCGAAAATATTTAGTAGATGCGAGAGACACGTATAATGCCGTAATTTAACGCGTAGGGGATATGTTTTTACTTAAAATTTAGTAAAGAGAGCCACATCTTCCTTTAATATTATAAATTTTTTAAAGAGGGAAAGAAAAGTTTTATAAATATTAAAATAATATTATATAATATAATATAGTAGATATATTATATATATAAAATAATATAAATAATATAATTATATACATAATATATTACATATATATATATATATATATATATATATATATATAATATAATATAGTATATATATTATATTACATAAAATAATATGCTTTATATATATGCTTTATATTATGCACGAATGCTTTCAAATTATGTAATCGTAAAATTATAATATATAATTATATGCAAATTATAAAATTATATATTATACTTTATATAATTTTATATATTTATATACTTTATAGATTTTTCTTATTTATATGTAATAATAAAATAAAATTATAAATTATATTTTTTATAAGAATTTTTTAAAACATTATACCAGTAGATGTATTTAGCAAAATTCTTTTTTATTTTCTTAAGAGAAATTTTTCTCTACCGGAATATTTTTATTATTCTTGAAAATTAATCAAAATTTTCTCAGCAATAGATGACAAGAAATATATGATATTTGAGAGATTAATAATATATTGTAAATAAGGAGGTAGATAAGGAAATTAAGGATAAAATAAACAGCACCAGAAAAAAAGATCATAAATCTTAATCTCTTTTGGAATAGCCTTTAATAAAAATTTAATCTGCAGCTTAGTTGCTAGATTAAAAATTTGAAATACAATAAATGACAATTCTCCGCAAAATATTGTTCTCAAAGATAAATCGTTAGCTCCAAATCGATGAAGCTGCAATTTAAAGAATCATCCAGCAATTCCCGGACGCCCCGTATACACTATAATGCATATGCATAAGCATTGCTGCACCGTTCGTTGCACATGTTAGCGCGGCCTCTTAGCATGCAAATCGCAATTGCACGTGCACGCGGCCAAAATGAAATCGCGGACGATGGATTTTATTCACCTCAAAAAAGCCCGCCGAGATCAAAAACTTCGCTCGTGAGATTATCGAATTAAAGAATTTACCCGAACATAAAAGAAAGTTTGTAAAAAAATGAATGAGAAGGATATTACCGATTTACACTTGGACAAAGTCTGCACAAATACACTTCTAGACCAATTTGTAATCAATCTTGTCTTGTCTATCTATTTAGCTATTTATATAAATATATTTTATATAAATATATTAATTTTATTTTATTTAAATATATTAAATTAAAAATAACTAAAAAATATATTACTAAATAATACATATCTATTACATTAATATATTAATATATATTAATATTAATATATTATTTGGTTATTTTTAATTTATTTTATATATATTTATAATTAATATAAAATATATAGGAAGAATTTGATTTATTAAAAATTAATTGTTACACAAATAATCACTACAAATTAAAAAACGGGTTAGTTTCGCAAAAATCTGCGAGAAGTATGTGCGCAGACTTGTGGTAAAAAATACCAAACCATTATCGCGCGTTTAAATTTCAAGAATATAATAATAAAACGATTCAAAAAACTATCACTACCTTCTTATTTTAGTTTACACGCGAGATCTAACTATTCGAAAAACGCTCTATTTCTACTGTATTAATGTTAACAAAGCCTTATGGATCATGGCGAAGCTATCAACAATTAATTATGGGGAAACGCTACAGCAGACGCTACCTATCGGTCTTTTAACTTTGTGTTTTATATTTCACGTAAGGGAATAACGATAAAATAATTATAAATAAATAGAATCGAATTTTTATTACTTTTTAAATTATTAATAGAAAAATAAAAATAAATAAATATCTGTAAAGCTGGTATATTATTTCGAAAATAATTAGAAATATTAGCTTTATTTTCAATAATTTTATTATTAATATTCGATAATTTTTGTTAATATAAACATATAATTCAATCATAAAATAAAAAAATGCTTCAGAACAAAATGAAACGCCACGCAACGTCTCACTTTGCTTTTCGAGATTTTCTTTATTTCTTCAAATTCATAGCTTTCAAAAATTCATAGCTTTACGTATTTTAGGAAAAGTTCTATCTTTCAAAAGCAAAAAGAAACGTTTTAAAATCGATTAAAATAAAATAGTCAGGAGCACATGTATGAGTATCGAAGTAAGATGTTGGTCGATTTTTGAGAGTTCTGTTTATTTTAAAACAGTTCTCGTATATTGAGCATTTCTTATGAATTCCTGTATCGAAATCTTGAAAAAAATGTGTATATGTGCTACTATGCGGTTAATCAATCAATCGGCGCAGGACTAATTAATGCGCAATAATAAAGAAGGGAAAAATCGGACAAGCGCAAAAGTGTCCGTTTGTTCAAGACTTACGTTCAATTACGGTGAATCCAGGTAGAGAACCATCGCGTGACACATGCATAAAGAGACACGTGGAAATCAGTTTTCTTCAAGAGCAATGCCCTCAACATTCTCATCGTTGAAATAGACATCGATTTAATCATATAATTAATTATAATAGCATCGTCAATCGTCACGTTCGTATTTTTCCTGATCAGTCTTTTTTCCTTTTTTTTCATTAAATTATAGATAATTGATACACTTTTTGATAGTACTTTTTTTCGAGAAACAGTGACTTTTCTTTAACGAAAATTTTTGTTTTCGAATAATAGTTGTTTACATGAATATTCAACAAGATATTTATATCATTGATGGCTCGTCATTAATAAGACTTTAAATCGGATTTATGTCGATGCGCATTTAATTTTCGCGTTTGCTATTGTTATGACACACGGTCGCTGAAATAAATAACGGGCTCTCACGCGATATTTTCCCGTTTAAAACCGAAGTTTTTTCATCACGGACTTGTCAGAGGAGGTTGGCATGGCTTCCAAGTTTATATGGTCAAAAATTGAATCGAACAGAACGGAAGGAAGAACGCGAGCAAGTGACGACGCTATCGAAACCGAATGCCGAAAGTTGGAATCGAGATTTTTCTTGTTTCGCGGACGTATATACAAGGTCAGGCATTTAAATTCGAGCACTTGTATTTCTTTTACGAATGTGCAAAAAATGTTTCTCGAAGAAAAGCACCAGATCGACGATATTTTTTTCTATTATGCAAGAAAAATCATTCATACAATGACCAATACAATAATATATATTATATCGAGTTTTAAAAAATGTACTTCATTTAAAAAAGAGAGAAAAACAGTGTAATTTACATAAATATTTTTATAATATACAGAGTGTCCCGGACTTTACGAATCAGCCGTTAATGATAGATTCCTGAGATCATTTGGAAACGAAAATTTTAATACTAATCGTTAAGTCTGGGACACCCTGTATATACAATAAAATTATATATTCCATAAAAATATATTATTAATATATTATACAAAAATATAAAAAAATATATGAAACATATTATATTATATTATAAATATATAATATTATAAAAATATATTATAAATTTATATTTTATAAATAATATTTCAATAAATAAATTTCATAATTATTTTTCATTGGCTAAAATATTTTCGCGGCTTCGCGATTTAAATCTGATTTTGCGTGAGAAGAAGAAGGGTAGGAAAAATTACTGTCGGCTTCAATGTGCATCGAGAAATCATAAGTCGGAAAACCCAGTACTCACCTCCTTGTAACAACGGCTCGCCTAGTTCGACGTAAAAGAGAGCATCCTTCTCGTAAGAATCCTCCTCGATGATTTCTAGATTGATTATTTTCCTGAAACAATCGGAAAAAAATTTGAAACAATTGTGGCTGAGCGGCTTCAGGGACTTGTTTTTATGTAGAGCGTCGTTTCCAGTTAAATACTCAACATCAAATTCTACCTCAGCAGCGGAAAATTAAACTCATCGAAATTATTACCGCTTTCAGTTCTCTCTTTGCGGTAATCGATTCATTAGAAAGGAAAGTGTCAGACGGTTAAACGCAAACTGCCTCGTCTATTTCGAACTACATGAACAGCATCGAAGAAACAGAGAGAGAGAGATCGATTTATTACTTTAGATAATTAAGTGTCGAATAACTGTGCAACTTGCGGACGCGTATTAATGTCAGATGAAATAATTGAGGGTTTCTGCTGGAAAATGTGCTATTTTCTACAATATTGCTGGTATACTTCCGATAGTCATTAATTTCCATGAAAAGCAGAAAACCAGATCCTTTGAGACTCAAGGCTCTTTCATTTATCAGATCAAAATAGATCAAAATTTGGCTTGAAATTAAGAATAAGTAATATGGAAATTTAATTGCTATTATTTTTTATATATATCAATTTTATATTATTTCTAATGCGACAAAAATTGCTCGGTAAATCAATTTTATAATATTTTTTGAATTTTAAAATAGCGTGTAATGTGAATCAATTTTTTAAAATTATCTAAATCTAAATTATATATCTAAATTATATAATCTAAATTATATATGTAATATTATTATATAAATTATTATATAAATTATTATATAATTTATATATATTGTGTAAAAAGTATAATATGTGTATATATATTAAAATTGTAATTTATTTAAACAATTAAAAGTAATCGTTTCCATATAAAATAAAACTGTACAGGTACTTTTCACTGTACTGGTTACAGAATATTTTCTTTGAAGTCTTACAACATTTATTGCAAATTATTTCTTCAAAAATGAGCGATTTCAACTATATTGAGGTGTGCACTTCAAAATGAGGGGCATATTTGAATTATGTCAATCTCTTTTCACTTCTCTTTGTCCCCTCTTTATATTTAATAAACCAACAAAAAGCTCATTTCAAGTTGATTGAAATACATTTTATATGTATATTAGCATTTTTTCTATTTCTTTTTTATATCCGAATAAAGTTTCTTTTATGTGAAGGACTTTATTGTTTTTGAAAGAAACTTTCAAGTTGTCACTCGAAATGCAACTACTTTTTTATATTTATAATTTTTTATATTTATAATGTGCGATTTTATTATTTACACATCCGGTGACGTTTTCGCTGAAAGAAAAGGATAAAAAAACGCGAGTGGCTACTGTCATTTTCTTTCTTTTTTTCTTTTTTTTACTTTTATACGAAACGTTTTCTATCATCGCTTACAACACAAAAAGCTCTCTTTTATGTTCTCTCGCCCGCAAACAGTATGCAGTTCTTTATGAAAGAGATCTGTTAGTGGCAATAGATTAATAGAGCTTCCGAAAAGCCTTTAAAACGTTTGTCGTGCGCTTCAACTTTTCACAACTTGGATCTCACAAAAGTTCAAAAACTCAAAAGCTTTCCATGTCCGCCCTCGGCAAGTTATGTAATATCTTTGTCAAAATATAAGAGGATTAAGCGATAAAAATTTTAAAGTTTTTTAAAAATTGCACACCGATCCAAATTGATAAGAAAGTCTCATCTGTTCAAGTTGATCTCATGGTTAAATAGAAATTTAACTTAACGTTTATTTAATGTTTAACGTTCGATAAGAGAGAAAGTTTAATATTATCGCCGTAATCGCTACAGACCCGCAAGGACGCAAATTTATAATGATCGTAATATTCTTCTTTTATGATAAGACTGCGGCTCTTACGGTTTTTGCGGCGAAAAAAGAATGTCTTAATGGTTCGACTGCTTTATGCATTTTTCCTGCACAACGTCGATGTTATCGATCCTATAAGCTTAACCTTTCAATATTTTGTACAATAAGGATTCTCGGAGCAAGAGAAAGGATATTATTCGCATTTAAATATAAAATTCGAATCTATATATTTCAGATGTCAAGATTTTTTTTTATCGCGAATAATTTCGGCGCATTTAAGGGGTTATGCCCAGTCTGCAGACCAAAAAAAGAATGATGCTTGGGAATTTTTTTTGAAAAGTGTATCAATTTTTTTTTACAAATAAATTTTTATTTAAAAGTACAAATATTAAGGATGTTATTATATATTTTTTTTTAATAAAATATTTAAAAATGTAAAAATTATAACGATTCTCCCGGATATTGTTTTTTAAAAACCACTGCGCGCTAAACAGTGCTATTCGAAGATGATTCATCTGATATCAAAAATTCAATAAACTGTAGTTAATGTATGAAATTGTCCAGTAGATGAACGAAAGATTAAAAATTGTTTTAGAACAAAATGGCAGCCATTTGACACTAAGATATTCTTTTTCGACTTAAAAATTGCTTGTTTTTTATTAAGTAAAAAAAAGTATTAAAAAACAAAATCCTTTGTTCATCTACTAGGTTTTTATATGTAGAAGAAGTCTGTAAAATTTCAAGCAAATCGATGTAACAGTTTTCGAAATATCTTGCTCCGACTTTGAAAAAGTGATTTCGAGAAAAACGCGTTTAAGATTTATGTCAAGTTTACGTTTAAATAAAATGCAGATTTGTTAATTTACATAGAATCATCTATCTTTCCGGGTCCACATAATTTTAGTTTATTTAAATCTTCATATATTGACTTGACAGCTCTCAAAACATTAGAGCTAAAACTTTATAGATGTGTTTAAACGAAGTTATAGATTCTGACACTTCATGAAACATACACTTACAGCTCCGTCAATTTGCATCCGATTAATTTGAAACTTTTAGGGAATATTTTCAATATACTTCGAGAAAATGTAAAAACATAAAAATCGGTTTTTTTTTACTTTTATGATTAGGCATAACTCCTTAAGTCTCCGGATCATAACATAAAGCTTGCATGTATCGGGAGGCTAAAAATCTCTCTCGTTTTAATTATTTCGTAATATTAGAGCAGAAGGCACATTATTGAACTTGTATTATTGGAACTGTCCGTTCTGGAAAGACTGAGACAACCATTTATTACCTTCTACCTGAAATATCTGCTGGAAACTATAAGAAGTACAAGCTTGCAGAAGCAACGGGTAACACATGTTAAACAAGTTGAAAATGTCAAACATATGTCGTAGGCCACACATCGATAGGTCGCGACGTGTTATGTACAGGGTGACCGGAGATAAAACGTGAAAAGGAAATACGAGCTTGGGGTAGACTGTCGTTGACGTTTAAACTTTGCGCATCGAGATTCTTAGAATTCTATTATCCCCAACGACACTCGCGTATTCCTACCTATTTGCACGTTCTATCTTTTCTACATCTCCGATTACTCGATAAAAAAATTATTTTGTTAAAACAAAGGGAGAAAATTACCCGAGGAGATGAAAGATTGGGGCGAGAAAGTGGATTTGTCAAGTGATCATTTAAAAAGTAAAAAGAAAAAAAGACGCAAGATTAATTAGTTCTGGGAAAGAGCATTAAGGGATTCCTCGAGTTTCTCGGATTTCCCGAAAGTTTATCAGAGAAAAATTCCCCGAAGGATTCCATGCATGACAGAATTCGCCGGGAGATCGGTTTTGCATAACACGTGTCGAGCTTTCACAATATGCAGTCGTACAGTAATACGAAACCGTACCAGTGCAGCGAAACGAAAGCTCGTTAAAGCGAAGAACTTCATTTAGCGGCGTTATAATTAAGCCGGTTAATGCTTGTTATCTTGACGGTGAAGTATCGTTACATGCAAGACTTAATCCGCGTTCATTCATATCGCGCATACAACCATCCCTTTGCTACCCCTTGTTATTCTTCGACCGAAGATTCGGAATTTTTGGAGAAACGTCAAACAAAACTGCACATGTTTATTTTTTTTTTCCTTCTAAAGCGAACGATGTCCATAATCTTCTCGTGTCCGCCTTCTTTGCGGCTTAATTTGTTTCAGGAAAATGGGGGAAAGAGATTTTACTCCTTAAAAATCTTCAATATTTAGCAGCAAATTCTGTAGGAACGTCCCTAGTCGAACACGAACGTTGCGGTCCCACGAGACTTTCTCGGGAATGTAAAATCACCTCGTTACATCCGACGTAAATGAAGAACGTCGATTACTCTTGCCGGGAAAAATGGCGGCCGCAAATTTATTAATCCGCGAATCCCGGAGCGACCAGCCGAGTTTGCACTTAATTGCGAGTTATCCGGCTACAAATGACGACGGAAAGCCGCGTAATGCGTTTTAATGGGCGGAGATATCGTCTAACGCGATTAACCGACCCTTTGTGCTGACGAAGGTCTTAGGGTCTTAAGGTAAATTGTATTACATCACGCGCGCAGTTCGGTTGCGTCTCGCTGAAATGAGTTCATTCGCTTTAACGAGTCTCTTTGTCCGAAGATGGAAAAAAAATAACTTAAATTACATCCACAAACTTCTTAGTTTCCAAAGTGTTTCTAAAGTATCTCCTCAACTCGTCGAAGGGTTTTTCAGAAAAATCCTGAAAAAGGACTCCAAATAAATCTCCAAAGGCTCTTTAGATAATTGAGTAAATTTAATTAATTATAAGTCACATTTGTAATCGAGAGAGAGAGAGAAAAAGAGAGAAAAAGAGACTCTCTTATATTAATATTTAATTTTTTATCTTAATATTCTCTTATCTTCACATATGATTTTTATTTACATAATTTTATTTTTATTTTTATTTCTATTTAATTTTAATTTTAATTTTTATTTCTATTTAATTTTTTCATTTTTATTTTTATTTCTATTTAATTTTCATTTTTTCATCCACTATTATTTCATTTAATTATTATTTCGAATGCAAATAATAAAAATATTTGTTACATTTGTGTCCCTCCGTCAAAAATAAAAAGGAAAATTTATTGTTTGCTTTAATATTCTCAGAGGAGTTTATTTTCCCGCGACAACTAATTCCTCTTTCACTCTCTATTCTACTTCGCTGCCCC